TGTACAGTGTGTGCGAAACAGCTTGACTCTCAATGGTGGGTCTCTATGAACATTTCTCAAGAGGCATTTCATGCAGACGCACACGGCTCTCCTCCCGAGTCACCCGCCCACGGGAGAAAGGAGCCCAGGAGGCTGCCCGAGGAGGCTTCATGGCTTGGGGGGCATTTTTCTTTTTTTTCTTTCCCTCCCCTCCCACCCTCCCTCCTTCCCTCCTTCCCTCCCTCCCTTCCTTTCTTTCTTTTTTAGCATTCTTTTGGCCTTTCATTTTTTTTCTTTGAATAGTAAATAGTTATTATTTATAGTCCTTTTCTGTTTGAACATAAATAACTAATTAGAAATGTTTCTCTGTGTACAAAAATCATTGTCCCCTCAGAAAAGCATTAGAAGTTAGCTAAATGGTTCTTTCACAAGGGAACTGTTTTATACATTCCCACATTTTCTACAGTGAGAATATTTGTATAATGAGGAAAAGGAGGTTGTTAACAATGGAATGAGTACCGTGCTTTAGGTAGGTGATGTCTTGGTCCTCATGCTAGGTACGTGGTCTGCTGTGCTGTTTTCTGCCCCTCTCAAGTTAAACATTGTGTTTCCTGTGGTCATTTTTACAGCAAGAACCCCTGGGCTGGCCCACCCACCGCAGCATGTGCTGGAAGCTGCAGCTTGGCAAGCTGAAGCCATGTGGGAGGCACAGGTCCAATTCCTGGTCCACCCTAAAAAGGTGGGCACAGTGGTGCTCGCTGGTGGGCTCAGCTCTCTGGGAGACTAAGGTGGGAGGCTAGAGACACAGCAAGACTCTGTCCAAAACACAACGTATACACACACATGCATCATGTACACACACACACACACACACACACACACACAGACACTCGCAGGGCTCTGAGCCAAACTGCAAGCATAGTACTGCAGAAATGTCATACAAGGAAGTCTTCAAAGTTCATGGAAATGTGTGTTAAAAAACCAAGGATTTCAAATTTTTTCTGCATCAAAATAAACATGTAATTCAATTCCATTTTTCTGTAAACTTTCTGAAGCTCTCTCGGCACTTTCCCGGCATAGGGCCCAGTCTGGCTCTGTGATTTGCAGCCCTGGCCCTCCTGGCCAGGGAATTTTAACTGCTCCTTGTCTTTGTCAGTCTATTGTAGGGGCAGAGGGCTTGTCCCTGGCTTTCCGGCACATGGCCAGCTCCCTGCTGGGCCACTGCAGCCACGTCTCCTGTGAAAGCCTCCTTCATGAAGTCATCGTCTGTGTGGGCTACTTCACTGTCAACCACCCGGATAACCAGGTACGGGCCCTGGAAGGACCACTCCCCAGCGCTGGGAGAGTGCGACCTTGGAGTGAGGAAAGGCAGGCCTGCGTGCTGGAACCCATCTGTCCCGAGTGAAGCCCTTTCCCGAGGCTCCAGTAGTGCATCTCCAACCCCTCCTCTCCAAAGAGCTTTGGTCAGCTCTAGAGTAGAACTAGGGCCCCTCTTAGAAATATTTTAAATAAAACACTCTTAAGGCACACAGAAGCATCTTCTCCCTTACGGCATAGGATCTTCCGCCTCTCCTGTCTTGCCACAGAGATTCAGGTGCTCTGGCCATCAGTCGTCTTGTCTGGGTGAGACAGCTTGTGTCTCTCGGCCTGCATTGCTTTGCACCCAGTGTCAGCGTCTGGTGCTTTATAAACTGTTTGTGGCTCCCAGCTCCTGCCTCCACGTGGGGCTGGAGAAGAGGCTGAGATGCCAGGCCTCAGCCTCTCCACAAGTCCCCCATAGCAGTTTTGTTTTTATCTGTTTGATTATTTGGTTTCTGAGTAAGATTTTATTTGTAAATAGCTTCTGCTCCATTAAGACACTGGCAAACCCGTTTGAAATTTTGTAAATAATAAGGAGAAAATACCGTATTTTTATTTTCGAAACCAATTAGGGCATAACCAACATATCAAATAGTAATTCCTGACAACCTTATTTCTCTCAAGCCCCCTCCTTGGCAACCTCAACTGTGCAGCTTATAGCTGAGAACAGTGCCTCTGACTAGCCCCTTAACCCTTGCTCTAAGCGTACTGCATTCTTTTCGGCAAATCTCTAACAGGTCTGCTTGCTAGATGCATCTGTCTACAGCAAACTAGACTAGGCCCAGAGGAGAGGGGATGGCCACGTTGGCAGAGCCAAGTACAGGCAAGAAGCTGCACACTGAGGGCGGACATGGACAAGGAGGAGAGAAAACATCCAGGATTTCAGGGGACACAGCCATCTGGGTTCAGAGGGACACTAAGCCCTGCGTTTGATTTCCTGGAGGATCGCAGTACCTCTGTGGCTGACCCTGAGTGAGCACAGAGGCAAGAGGTGTATTCAGTGCATTCCCTTTAAGAAGGCGAGGGGCCCGGCTGTTGTGGCACACCCTGCTGAGACACTGCTCTGCAGGCTGGGGCCGGTGAGAGGGTGAGAGGTTCGATTCCTGACCCAATGTAACGGCCAGGCATGGGGCATGCACCTGCAGTCCCAGCAGCTGGGGAGGCAGGCAGGATCGCCAGTGGAAGCCTGGCCTAGACAGCAAAGTGAGACCCTATCTGAAAAAGAGCTGGAAATGTGGTGGCATGTGCCCATAGCCCAGCTGGAAGACTAAGGCAGGAGAGTGGTGACAGCAAGACCCTGTCTTTTAAAAAAGTCAAGGACTACGCAGTCCAGTTGAGGAAGATTCTCGTGGTAAAGCACAGAGAACGTGGACCCTTACCAGATTGTCACACAGACCCGGCTGCCAGGGCAGGGTGTGACTCTCTCCTCCCACCACAGGGAGCACTCAGGTAGGTCCTTCCTCCGCACTGTTCCAGGCGCCAGCTTAGCAGGTTCCGCAGCCTCTTGAAAGCTGCTCAGGGCTGGAAAGAGGAGCGAACTCTCCCATGTGGATTTCTTTTCTTTATGTGCATCCAAGTAACCTACTAAGATACATTTTACTTTCCTTTCAAGTTTATTTTTCTCATCGCAAAAGTGTTTCTTGTTTATTTTGAAAAAGACAGGGCAAACATAAAGGATGAAGGGGAGTCAGTGTCTGCGCGGTGCCCTCCCTGTCTCAGGAGCCTGCTCACCTGGGAGCAGGTTCCCGCCCACCGCTTTCCTGTACGCCGTGTTAGACAGCCAAGGGCAGGCTGTCTCGCATCCTGCTTTATGTACTAACGTTATAGCAGATCCCTCTGTGACTTTTCTTCTTTCAGAGCTTTTATTGTCTTCCTCCATGAGAGAGCGAGCACCCCAGTGGATCCTCGAATCCACCCCCAGTTCAGTCAGCCCAGGATCACTGGCAAATGCATGCCAGGCATACTCAGGGAGGTCTTTGGACATTAACCCAGAACCTTCGCATGTGGGTCAGCCTCACCGAGTGCGCGCGTGCCACTGCACCACTGCCCCGCCCTGAGCATATCTTCTTTGTTGGCTGTGCAGCTTCACCTTGCGTGTGCATCATGGTGTACCTGCCAGTTTGTCATTGGGACCCGCAGATGGCACAATGCTTACGTTGTTGGACTCTCATGATCAACCACGATTCGAGTCCCAGACTGGAGGCTTGAAACACACCGGGTGCGTGTGCATGCGTGCCCAGAATCCCGAGAGCAGAGGAGAGAGGAGGGGGTTGTGGCTGTGGCCATCGCCCTTGGGGGTAATTTCTCGCTTTTCGTCTCTCTGTCTCTCTGGTGAGCACACATGCCCTATAGCAAAAAATCTTTCTTAAAAAAAATTCCTCTTTTACGCTTAAGCTTTTTCCTCTGTACCATGGCACTCTATTGCACTAGTAAAGAAGTGAGTAGTGTATGATGATAACTTATCTGCAGGTGGTTCTGCCGTAAAAACCACAGTTCTTTCGGCACATCCCATATTAGGGCGGGTTGAAACTATTTGTTTAAACCAACTCTGTCGTAGTCAATTTCCTAGACTCGGAATTGTGTGGGAGCTGAGAGAGTTTTTCTGCCGACGCTGGTCACAGACTAATCTCCTTTTGCTAAAACACACACTTTTAGTATCTTTGTGCCCAGCAGAGCTGAGACCAGGAGACTGTCGTTTGGAAATGGCGTTTTAGACCTGAGTCGGATGTGGTGGGAAAGTGATGACGAGTGATGTTGAGAGGCGGATGAAATGGGCAGAGAGAGTCGAGAGCAGGACGGGGATGCAGTGGGCTTGGAGACCATTGTCGAGAGGTGAGCTCACGTGGGGAGGAAGAAGGGAAGTGAAAAAAGGCAGGCCTCGCATTTCAGCACCTTGCCTGTCAGGACCGAGAGCCGGCCTGGACAGCCACTTCTGGTCTGGAAGAAGATGGGCCGAGCCCTGGAGCAGTTGCCGGAACAGAGAAGGTCGGTAGCGTTCTCTGCTCCTCTCCCCACTGTGGTCTCTGGGACCGCACCAGCTTTGCAATGAGGCCGCAAACACAGGGTTTTTCCCATCCTCGCAGACAGTGGCTAAAGGGACTTGAGAGGGCCAGCCGCAGTGGCCGCCCTGCTAAGATACCACTCTGCCGGCCAAGGCCACATAGGAGGCCCGGGTTCAATTCCCAGCCCAACCTGAAGAGCCAGGCACAGTCCAAGTTACTCGAGAGACTGAGGCGAGTAGATTGCAGTAGAGAGAAACCCTATCAAATAAATAAAGTAAGGGGTAAATTAGCCCCCTGAGATGAGAGAGAATCGCTGGAAGACCAGGACTAGAATCTTGTCTTGCAAAGCCATCTCTCTTCATCTCACAGTGCTCAAGGAAAGCAGATGTGTCATGAGACCCATCCACAGACCCTGCTGATCAAGTCTTTTATAGGAACCTCTCACTGCGGACAGGAGTGGCAGCGAGGAAGGGAAGGCCCCTTGCCAAGACAGTCTAGGGAAGATGTCACCTGCCCTTGGTGCTGGGGCATGCCTGTGTGCCCGACTCACGGGCTCAGGAGGTCCTGGGAAGGTGCAGATGGACATGCACCAACACCCTGCTTTATGAAAGCCAGGGGACCACAGCTTAGCAAATAGGAGCTCTGAGTTCTAGCCCCAGCTGTGCCACTAGCTGTCAGAGCTTAGGTAAACTCGTGCCCCACTTGAGGCTTAGGCATCTTTGACCATATGTAGAAGCAGATCGGTTCTGGAAATGGACAGTGGTGATGGTCGCTTGATAAGGTGAGTGTACTTAATGTCTGTGATTGTGGAGTTAAAGTGGCAAATCGTATGTCGTATGTATTTTACGCAATAATGTGAGCAGGAGGAGGAAGAGAGATGGGGGAGAGGGGATCATACTAGATCCTCTCCCCTGCGAGTTCCGTGAGCCTGGCATTTTGAAGGCTGAGACTGGAACCACACACACCAGCATGCTGACGTTGGGGACTCCCAGCTATTCTGTGGTTTTTCTGATCCTTACCCTGCTTCAGAGTCTGTCAGTACCAGCTTACCAAACTGCGCACCTACTCTGAAGCAGCTATTGTTAAAAGCTCAGTCTGCCTCAGTGCTGGCAGGTGGCATGGTGGTTAGGGCTCTGGACTCCCACATGGCTGACCGTGGTTTGAGTCCTGGACCCAGCAATTTGCCTTCTCACATTCTGTGTTTCTATCTCTCTGATCAATTTTGTTCAAAAAAAAAAAAAATGCTCAGTCTACCTGGACTCTCCCAGGATTAACAGAGGAGTGCAAAGACAGACCCCCTGAACAGAGACGTCTCCAGGTGAGCTAGAAGGCCAGGTTCCCTGCCAGTCAGGCTGTGCAGGGCCCAGGCAGGGGGAGAAATAGCCACAGCTTGCCAAGGGGTAACTGCTCTTTCCCCGCAGGGCTGGGGAGTTTCTAGAGCCTCAAAACTGATTGTTTTCGCTAAAGTAATCTTGCAGTGGGCTTGCAGTGGGCTGTGCTGCAGCTCCCAGCTCTCGTTCCAGCGTTAGTCGCAGGTGCCTGCAGCCCTGGCCCTGGAGAACTCCCTCGCATGAGCACTCGAGAAACTGAGGCCCAGGGAAGGGAAAGGGATGCCACGCAGGAGCTGGCAGGGCCCAGCGGGGGAAGGGACCTGCAGGGGCTCTGCCCCTTTCCACCGCCTTCTGTTCTGTGGGACCCACCCTCTCCAACTGAGGGGATTTGACTGGAGAAGGGACTGTGCTCCACTCATTGAACGTGGCTATATCATTAGTCACAGCTCAGACTCCGGTGCCAGGGCCTGTTTGTCCACAGGGGATTCCTGATCCCCTACTGGGAAAGCAGCCTGTCTTCATGAGACTGGGGACCCCGAGGCCCTTTGCTGAGGCTCCAGCTTTGCATAAAGGATTGGCACTTTGTACTTGTCAGCTTAGTCCACTCACTGGAA